CCCAGCACTAAGTAAATCCTCCCGCTTCCTGTGGGATGGAAGGCCCAGCCTGCAACATCCAGCTGCCTCCTGGATGGTCTTCCTCCTGGGGGCCATGAGAAGCCCAGCGGATGGGCTGCTGGGGCTGAGGGCAGGAACGGGGCCTCAGAGGTTGGGTGTCGTGGTTGCCGGAGAGCCATGTGGTGCTGGCAGTCTGACTGCAAGCTGTGTTGGCGGGGCCCTGGCTTCCCGGCCTGATGCTCAGCCCGCTGTCAGCACTCAGCAAATAATAAATAATAATAATATCTCCAGCATGTTGGGGGAGCCCGAGGGAGGAGGGAACACAAAAAACATGTGTTCTCTTTCATGGCGGGTGCCAGGAAGCTGAAGTCTATTCAGCACCTCCCTTTGGGTGAGATTTGAGGGGAGCCACCCCATTCCCCAGAACTTGGCAAGGAAGGTCAATAAGAAACTGGGACCTCAACTTGGAACTGGGGGCTCAGGGAAAGTCATTTGGGGCACTCCCTGAACTGCCTTTTTTCCACCACAGAAAATGCCCAGATTGTCCTCAGATGCCCTTTGGGATTTGGAGGCGACCAGGCTTGGGTTTAAATCTTCTATCTACGACTTTACACAGTTATTTGGCTTCTCGGGACCTCCTTGGTGTGCTTACCTGTAAAATGGGATGGTTAAAGTGTGGCTAGGCAGACTTAGATGAGAGCGGTTGCCACCTGCCCACGCGGGGACTGGCGACTGATAACTAGCCAGCACTGCCGGCCGTGCCTCTCCTCCGACCGTGCCTCTCCTCCGGCTGTGCCTCTCCTCTGGGTGTGTCTCTGCTTCCTCAGTGTGCGGCTGAGCTTGGGTGTGGGGGAGAAGGTGAGGAGCTGGACTGTGTGGGTGGCTGGCACTGGTGCTGGGTCTGGGGAAGGATTCTGCAGACCTTCTGTCTCCTGCAAGTTGCCCTGGTACCCCTGGTACCCGTCACTGCTTGTCGACTGACTGCAACAGGGACTGGCTGGGCGTGCTTCTGTTGAAGGCCATCATGCATTGGGCTAGGTGACTGGGGTGAAGTCCCTTTGGCAACGCCTGCACATGGGGCTCAGTGCTGATATCTTGGGTTGCAGCTTCTTGGGATGTGGGGCCAGATGAGAAAGCTGAGTCTGGTTGAGACAGCCGTGGAAAGGTCCCAGCCATAGTCCCCCCGACTCCATTACCTCCCTGGCCTGCTTCCTCAGGGGGTGGGACGGCCTGGAGACCATCCCATGGCAGTGCACCTGAGGAAGTAGGATGCTGTTTTCTATCCTAAGAGGCTGGTCCTTTGCAAGAGGGTGCCTTGCTGTCCTATGAATTTACCTGTGTGGCTGCAGGTGATTTGCCCAGCCTCCCCCATTAGAAGGACTACCTCCAGCCCCCCCTTTCCAGGGTTCTTATGGCTCCCTTTCACCTGTCCTGCCTTCTCCCCAGAAGGCATCATCCTACTGACCTCCGGCCTCCTGCCCCGAGGTGAGCGCTCCCCCCAGGTGGCCTGCTGAGTTCCCTTGGCTTGCTCTTGGCTGTGCACTGGGGATGGGCTACTTGTCAACTGATGTTGTTTAATTTTCCTCACTCAGACTCTGCTTGTTCCAACACCCTGCAATGACACGGGTGTTAACCGAGCACAGGGGACTATAATTATCGGGGTTGAGAGACGAGAATCTCCTGGTGGTGCAGCAGCTGCAAGCAAGAGCCGCCGCCTGCTCAGTCCCCGGAGAGGAGCCACTCCGGTCTGACTCGTGTCTGGAGAGCCGCAGGGCTCTCGTCCTTCACCCTCACATCTGTCTCACTGCGGCCCGTGGGGGTTTCTCCCTCTGCCCAGGGGCTCATAGGGCCTCTCTCCAGGGCACATATGGGACCTTATTTGGATTGAGTGTGGCCAGGGTGGCTCCTGCGTGTCTGAGCAGGCCAGGCACGTTGTGTGGTCCTGCCTCTGGGCTGGGAAGGGGCACCTTCCCGGTGCTACATGGGTGCTAAGCAGGTCTGCAGGGAGGGGCTGGGTACTGTGCGGCCACAGCAGTGAGCAGTGCTTTACTTACAATAAATGTGAAGTGCTGCATTTAGGTTCAGGAACGAATTCCTGGATGCTGCCTGCGGTGGGATGGACCAGACTCGGCAGCGGGAGTCTAGGTACAAAGTTGGAGTCAGCTCATCACATGTATGGTTGCTTGTAAATGTCTGTGAAGGTCACCTCCAAATGCATGATGGACATGCGGTGCTGGCTTTGAGTGGGAGACAGCATGCCATCCTGGGCATGGGTGCCTGCACCTGGAACCACGAGGATGGGCATCTCGTCGTATGGGGCTGCTCGGGGGTGACCTGGGAAGAGCTGCTTACCTGTGTTCAGATGTGTGAGAGCATGTGTAGGAAGGAGGCAGCGCATGGCTGGACTTAGCTATGGGGAGGAAGGTTTGGCTCAGTGTGGATTATCGCAGTTGCTGACAGTCAGATGACTGGAGTTGATGGGCAGGCACTGAGTTCCCAGCCATTGGGGTCCCTGGCAGGGAAAGGTGGGGTGGCGGCTGCTGGCATGTGGAGAGAACAGTTCCCACCTGGGGAGGGCGCAGGCTAGACCTCTCTCTCTGGGCCCGGGTCTCTAGCACCGAGGTTAGTCGTCGCTCTGTCACTGCCAGTCACCCGCCCTCTGAGTGAGTCTTTCTCCTGCTCCGTGCCTCGGGATTTCTCCCTGGGCCAGGATGTCAGGTCCTATTTCCCCTCAGTTTTGTGGAGACATGGGGAGCGGAGTGCAGATGGCATTCTAGGACATTTTGTAGGCCAGGTGTGGCTGGATAGAGCGTGTTTTCCTCAGACTTCTGGCTCCTCAGTGTGACTGTGGCAGCTGGTAGTCTAGGGCTGCGGCGTCTCCGTGCGAGCCTGTACCATGGGAGCTGGCATGGGACCCCAGATGTGGGGAGCCACTGGAGGCCCCGGATTGGAGGAGGGAAACCTCATCAGGTCTTCTTCCAGCCGAGCTCCCAAGAGCACTGGTGCTGGCCGAGCACACAGTAGGCCCTTTCTCAGTCACCAAGTTCAGTGGGCTTTGCCAGTGGCACAGTCCTGGCTGCCCATGGGTGAGCCAAGGTTCTGAGAGCCAAAGATGGGCTTGCTGAGGGTCCCTTGGCCTTCTGGGCTTGCTCCGGGGCAAGGGGATGGGGCATGGGGAGGAAGGAGAAGCTGGAGCTCGCAGGGAGCATCAAAGGGCTGGTGCAAGGTTTATTGGGGCCTTTACTGCCCTAGTTTTCATTATTTACACCCTGTTGATTCTAGGAGCTCCCGTTAAATGTGTAATAAATATAAAAATATTTTACAGGCCAGTGAAAATTCCACAGCAAAAATAACTCTATAAAGAGGGATTTCACCCTGCTCTGCCCGCTGCCGAATTCTGTGTGGCATTCCTCTGCGCCTGTTGGCTGGCAGTGGGGCGATGAGGTGGCTGGGTTCCCCAGTCCTGGTGGGGGCTTGGGCTGGTGTTTAATTAGCCCCTTTACCAGCCTGTGAATGGAGCCGCCCCTCCAGGGCTGAGCTGCCAGCTCTCCCAGGTGGTGGTGGGTAAGAGTGGGCTGGGGTGGGACTGGGTTCCAGGTTGGGCTGCGGGAGGCTGGTGCGCAGCACGGGGTAGGAGGGGGCAGGTAAAAGTTTTTCTCCTGGCACTTCCTTCCCTTCCTGGATAGTTTAAGGATCCGTCAGTGAGGGGGAGAGGGTAGGGTGGAGAAGACCGCATAAAGCAGTGATGTGGAGCCAGGGTTTTGGGGGGCAGACTGCCTGGGTTCCAGTCCCACCTCTGCCACTTGGAGCTGTGTGACCGTAGGCACATGACTTAGCCTCTCTGTGCCTCAGTTTCCTCCTTTGTAAAATGCTCTGTTGTGATCTTTGGGAAGCGTGTGCCTATCATAGGAAAGACTCAGTCAGTGATCATAATATCACCTTATGCTCTATAGTTAGATAAATTTTAAAAATAAAGAACAAGGCATTTACAGTTCCAAGCTTAGAGGGTTAGGTGTAGGGAGAAGGACTTCTGCCACCTCGGTCAGACCTGCATTATCCAGTTCGAGAACCATCAGCTGCATGGTATCTGTTGAGCACTTGAGACATCACTCGTCCAGACTGAGACAGGCAGGCGACACACCCAGGATTTCAAATAGTTGGCGTGAGCAGAAGGTTCTAATATATCTTGTCAATAATTGTTTTATATTGATCAAGTGTTGGAATGGGGTCCTCTATAGCTGGGTGAAATAAACTGTATTATTAGATTTAATTTGACATGTTTCTTTTAACTTAAAAAAAAATGTGGTTACTAGGAAATTGAAATTGAAATTGATGTGTGTGACTGGCATTGGTGCCTGTGGTACATTCAGCTGGACAGCTCCACCCTCCTCTGGGAAGGACAGGCCTGATGCCCTTGCACTCTTGTGCCCTGGCCTAGTGCTGTCACCCATGTCACAGCAAGGGAGCTCCAAGCTAAAGAGGGGCTGGGGTGACCCTGAAATCCCCCATGGCAAAGACACGCTGCTCTTTGGGTCTCGAAGAGATGGGGAAGCTTGTCTTTGCTTCCTCCCTGTTCTTGTTGTAGGAAAGATCAGACTTAGGGAGCTAGAACGAGCGTGTGCGGGGGGTGGCAAATAAGACCTGTGGCATTTGGTGAACGCTAAGACATGTTTAGGGACAGGCAGCTTCACAGTGGGGACTGAGTGAAAGATGCAGGTGGCTTTTTGGCTCAATGGAGCCAAGGTCAGTGCTGCCTCTTGGAGATGTGGTGAGAACAGACCCACTCCTGCCCGGAGACCATGTTGCTGCTCGGCCTGAGGCAGCCTGGTCGGAGAGGTGTCTGGGATAATGGCAACCCCGTGTTTCCTGAACAGGTGCTACGTGCACTATGCTCTGAATCCATGGCAGCAGCACAAGCGCTCAGGACCAGGGCATCTTCACTTTAGGGATGAGGAACCCCAGGCTCAGAGAGGTTAGAGCTCGTTGGTGGAGGACTGAGATTTGAATCCAGGTCTGTTTGGTTCTTAGGCTTGTGCTGATCTGTCATCTCGCCTGCTGAGTGCCCCTGCCCGCTGCTTCTTGCAGCCACAGCAAGGGCTGGACCAGACCACGTGCTGTCCCAGGCCTGGGTGCAGACTCCAGAGGCTTCACCACGTCTCAGCTGTGTAGCACTGGGTAAGTCAGCTCTTCTCCCAGCCGTGGCTTCCTTCTCTGTAAAATGTGGGTGATGATAATATCTGCTTCTAGTGCTAGTTAAATGATGTGCTCTTTGTGTATCGTGGGTGCTTAATAAGTAATTGTGGTATCGTGATTAGTGGATGACATTAGGTGAGGGTTATCCAGCAACTGGTGAGGGTTATCCAGTATGGGCATCTAGAAAAGTGGTATTCAGAGTGGAGATGAGATGGGCCTCCCCCGTGGCGCAGCGGATGAGCGCTGGGCTGCGAAGCTGTCCGCAGCCTCTGCAGGGCCGGTTTGATCCCTGGCCGCCAGACCTCTCCTGCCGCACCTGTTGTTCCCCTCAGCAGTGTACTTTGTCAGTCTGCCTGTTCTGTTCCCCGCTCTGGTGAATTCTCTCACCCTCCCGCGCTTCTGACTATACCCAGTGCTTGTATAAATAAATAAATAAATCTAAAAAAAAATAGAGTGGAGATGAGTTAGAATTTTCCTTGAACTCACCGGGTAAGATGTCCCCGCTTTTATCTCACTGAGTGGAGGGACTGGTGGGGCCCACAGGTTGTTTCTGAGCATCCTGTGGCCTTGCCATCCCTCCTGGTGCTTGCTGGGCCTTGGCAGGACTGGACAGCCTCACTCCTCTATGTTTGCTCAGGGATCTGACCTTTGTTGGTATCCATGCCACTAATGGCTGCCGAGAAATGGCCTTGAAGTCTGGGAACTGAACCATGGGCTCTCTTTTTGCTACTTTTTTGCTACTTATTGCCTCTTTTGATATGATCTACTGCCCTGGGGAAGGGATACAAGAATGAATGTTGCCCCATTTTGTAGACAAGGAAACTGAGGCCAGGGGTATGACTATTTCTGGGGTCTGATCAATGAGCAGTTTTTAGCTGGGAAACTCAGGCTGAATTTGGGCTGGGCAGAGAGGCCCAGGGGTGGGCCTGTGTCCTGCTCACTTAGGAAGGCCCCACCATGGGACCCTGGCCCCTTTACTTGCAGGCCTTGGTCTTCTGTTGGTGCCTCCAGACTATTGGACCTGCTTCCATTTGGAGGGTTTCCCCCCTGCTTTCCTGTCTCTGCTCATCCCAACTCTCAAGAGTCCCAAGTGGTCAGGAATTGGGAGTGGGGGAAGAGTGGAGCTCTGCCCTGGGCTGGGGATGGGGTAAAGAGGGGGCTGCCGAATGCCAGCTTTCCCACAGTCACATGTGGAGGCTGGCTGCCCTGTGCTGGGCTGGGTGGCACAGACTCAACGCACTGCCTCGCTTTACACATATTCAACCCAAGGGGCAGGTGCCATTGTGATTCCCATGTTAGAGTGAGAACACGCAGCTAGGGATGCTTAGCACCTGGCAGCAAGGAGGCCGTGGGAATGGAATTTGAAGCCAGGGTGGTCTGAGCCAAGAGCAGGCTTCGCACTGCTGGGCGGCCCTGCCTGCCTCTGGTAAGGCAGAGGGTGCCTTGTGCTGGCTGTGCAGCTTTGGGGCTGCTGCCCGGGTGCTCTGCCCTCACGAGGCCTGCCTGGGCCCCTGCCGTCCTGACTCCTTTGAGGCTCTGTCTTTTCCCTGCCACTCAAGAAAGCAAATTAGAAAGGCAGTGGTGAAAGAGTTGTTGTTACAGGAACCTCCCTAAATCTGCTGAAAATCTATAGAAATGGTAAATTATTCCCAAATTTTAGTACTGATCTGAGCCATAGATGGAAGACACACACATCAGCCTACTCACACCAGGGGCCCCGAGAAGAAGCAGGTTCGGAGCAGCAAGCACCCCTACCCTCCCCTGCGTTGCCTCTCCTCTCCCTCTGGCGGGGGGTAGGTCACAGCAGTGGCCATTTCTTTCTTTTCTTTTTTTAAAGATTTATTTATTCATGCGGTACAAGCCAGAGGTGTGTGTGGTGGGGAGAGGATTCACCAGAAACAGAGCGGGAACCAGGCAGACTGACTGAAATACACTGCTGGGGGAGCAGCGGGCGAGCCAGGAGAGGTCTGCCTCGCCATGTGGGATTCTTGCTGGCCGGCCGGGATGGAACCTGCACTGCAGAGGCTGTGGACAGCTTCACAGTGCTGCGCTCAACCACCTGCGCCACCAGGGGAGGCCCAGCAGAGGCCATTTCAAGGATGAAGAAACAGACTCCATGGTAGTGACTGTTGCTGTGGGTCCTACATTGGGAGCATGGGCAAGGGTCTTGAATAGGGCTTAGGGGCCGAGGGGGTCTAAGACCCCTCAAATGTGGAGGTTCTCCCTATCCAGGCACCCTGCCTTTGGTTCAGAGCCCTTTGCTCTGATCTGCCATCCAGACTCTGCTACTGTCCATCGAGGTTGGGGATGTGCAGGCCCACCATGTTTGTGGGGATACTGGCCAGGGAGGGTGGGACGCATGACAGGCTCCACCTCTTCCTGCCCAACCTGCTTCTTCGTGGCGGGTCAGATAAGGCTGGGAGGCCCTTCTTTGATTGTTCTGACCTGCATTGCTCGTTCTTCTGCTACTATGTGCTGCTGGGACCTCTTACCTCCATTTGAGAAATTGTGCTTCTGTTGACATGAGCCTTGGCCAGGACTCTCTCCTCCTGAACTAGGCCCGGTTCTGGGAGTCTGGATCCTTTTCTTTCCCCTAAGCTCGTGGGCTGGACTTGGGGAGGCGTTCTAGAGCATTAGGATGAAATCGCCTAAATGGAGTACCCATTCCACAGTGACAGTAGCCTCTGCCAGCTCATCTGAATGGGGCCAGTGCCCCCCACAGACAGGCCTTGAGAGAGGCAACACTGGGGTTCACCCTGGTTTCTCCGTGTAAGGCGTGTGCCGTCTTCTGGGGCTATGGCCGCTGTGCAGGACCTGAGCTGAGCCAGAGGGTGGCTGTGCTGGGCCATCCAGAGGCCCACTTCTCTGTGCTAGAAGGCCATTATCTCATGAGTGCTGTGGAAGTAGGCTCAGAATTTTACACAGGCCATGGCTGCTGTCCACTTCTTTTTGGGGTCACTCCTCTGGGCTCTGGGTGTCTGTTGTGACAGCCTCTCTTCTTTGAGGATGCAGACTTGGCCTTGCTGCCCAGAGGGAGGCAGTCTTTAATCCCTCCTTTGTGTTGTCACAGGCTGGGGTGAGAGTTCACGAGAGAGGACAGTACCTGGCTGTGTAATTAAGTCTTGGGCTTGGCACGGAGACCCAGTTTTAATGCACTATCCCATTTGCTGCCTTTTCTAACCCACTGTCTCTAACCTGGGCCCATTACAAGGTGTGGGCTCTGGGGCGGGTCAGGGGCCCAGCTGGCCATGCTGAGTCCTGCCGACTCCTGGGCACTATGGGCTATGCCGGGAAGGGCAATGTCCACCTGCTGGGGGTGCCCTCCGCGATGGCTCTGCTGTGACCTGGCAGCCACGGGGCTGCGCTGCCCCAGGAAGGGGGTCTTCACAGGGGAGATGTCTGGGTCTCCCACTAGCACTTGGGCTGGCCTTTAGGGTGGGCTGCAGCAGCCCATGGAGGAGGAAAGGGAGAGTAGAGAATAGCGTTCCCCAGGGGCTCTCTGGGGCTGTGGGGTCTCCTGATGACTAAAGTATGATTCCTGGAAGCAACTTCAAAGCTCTGTTTAAGATACCCTGCTGAGCCTCTCTGCGGCTTTGTGTCCTGACCCCAGGGTGTTAGTGGGGACCGTGTTCCCCAGTGGTAGGTGCAGAGGTTTTGGAATGCTGGACTTAGGTTCAGCAGCATATCATGGATGAGGGGCCCATTAAGCCCTGTCATGGTGTCAAGGGCATCCAGCTTGGACCCTCAGCTGTACAGACAGGCGTGGGTGCATGTCCACTCTCATTCTACATGGGAGCTGGGACCCAAGTGCCTCCACCCCTGCACGGCTCCCCTGGGCCCCAGGTGATTATCAGTGCCATGTGTGTGCACTCTGCATTCTCTGTGGCTTTACTTGCGTTTGGTTTTAGATTCATTGGAGGGATTCAGGGTCATTTCTTTTGGCCTCTGAGTGTGCCCCGGGGGTATGTGGCTGCGATGTAGCTTGGAGAGGCCAGTGACAACTCAGCCATTGGCATTTCCCTTCCAGAATAGTACTGCAGCAATAATGGTGACATTACTGAGGGCCAGGCTGTGCTAGCATCTCCTAGCCCCTCGGTATCCATTAGTTTTTTTTTTTTTTAAAGATTTATTTATTTATGCATACAGGAGCTGGGGTACAGGCCAGAGGTGTGGAGGGGTGAGAGTATTCATCAGAGACAGAGCAGGGAACAGAATAGACAGACTGATGAAATACACTGCTGAGGGGAGCAGCGGGCGAGACAGGAGAGGTCTGCTACACCATGTGGGTAGCTCCCTGGCTGGGGATCGAACTCATGCTGCAGTGGCTGCCTATAGCTTTATCATGCTGCATCTTAACCCCTTGTGCCACCAGGGAGGCCTTGGTATCCATTATTTTAATCCTCAGACAATCTCCTTAGCTAGGGGTTATTAAGAAATCTGTTTGTAGGGGAGGAGGCTGGGGTAAGTGACAGGCCTCAGATCACAGCAAGGAAGTGATGATCCTGGACTGAGAAGTGGACCTTTGGCTGCCAGGCCCTCCATCATCCCCTCTTCCTCACAAGCAAGGGCTGACCTGAATCCTTACCTGGCTTATCCCAGTTACCTGAGCCACACAGTGAATGATCTGGGACCAGACTTTGGCCACAAATTCTGGGATGGCTGTGGGTGACTCCACTAAGGCCCAATCAGACCCCTGCCTGGTCTGCACAACCTCTTTTTTTTTTTTTTTTAAAGAATTATTTATTTATTTACACAAGCACTGTGTACAGTCAGAAGCGCGGGAGGGTGAGAGAATTCAGCAGAGCCAGAGCGGGGAGCAGAACAGACAGAGTGACGAAGTCACTGCTGAGGAGAGCAGCGGGCGGCAGGAAAGGTCTGCGCGCCATGTGGGACCCTGGCCCGGCCAGCGGCCGGGGATCAAATCGGAGCTGCAGAGGCTGCAGGCAGCTTCGCAACTCAGCACTCAGGGAGGCCCCTACACA